AAAGTTCTATTTTAAATAATGGCAATGACGAAAATGTTTAAAAAAAATGGGCAAATAGAACAATAAAATTTTATTAATTGAAACGGTGATTATTAGACCAATGGAATATTTTTATATAAACTAAGAAACCCTCTTCTTGGAAATTTAGAATATTGTCCGAAGCGTTGAAAGATGAATGAATAGATTGTTGTTGTTTTTTTTTTTTGTTATATATGGGAGTTTATTTAAATTCCTAAAATGCATCAAATAAAGATACATGAAAAATCTCTGATAGTGCTAGTATGGTTATGTACAGATATTTAAATAGTAGACAAAAGTGTTTAATATTTTCTGAAATACGGATATTCAGAAATTAAAGTGGCCCTCAATGGATTATAAAACACGAAATCGTGTGTTAATACGACGCAGTATAAAATTGCTATTTTATCGAGGAGTCGAAATTTGGGTCAGAGAGAGCTAGCGATCGCGAAACTGAAACAAAGCATATTATAAATTCTGAAAAAGATGTGAAAATAGTAGTTTTAAACCCGGAAAAGAGTAGCATTTGAGAAAAGTATTTTGTAGTATACTGAACACTTTGTATATATATATATATATATATATATATATATATATATATATATATATATATATATATATATATATATATATATATATATTCAGTATACTGAAAAATACTTTTCTTAAATGCTACTCTATCTCTCTCTCTCTCTCTCTCTATATATATATATATATATATATATATATTATATATATATATATATATATATTTCTGAGATGCGTCATATTAACTTATTGACTCTGGAAACATTTATTTTACTTTTAAAACTTTCAACAATTATCAATTAACATTTTAAATTTGCTGTAAATTTTTCGAGTACTGCTTACAGACTGACTCTAAATTCAAATCCATTTACTCAGGCTCAATCTACTGCTAAAAATCCATAAAATCATAAATTATTTTTATGTTATTTACTTCTTTTTTTCCTTTAGTTTAGTTTTGTAATTTACTAGTATTTTATTTTTCTATTATTTTCTACTATTTTCTATTATTCATATTCTTTCTTGTTTTGTTGTGTTCCCCTTAATATTCCTTAATATCATATTTTCTCATTACCATTGAAGATTGCTGATTACAGAAATATGTATCTTATAGATAAATAAATAAATAACTTTTCAATAATAGTCTTTTTTCTACCACAGTAAGGCATAGTTTCAAAGATTATTCTGTATGATTCCTCTGTATTGGTTGAGGATAAGACCTAGCTGTTATTAAAGACCATTTAACTGTGTATTGTTATACCGAATTTAATAAAAATTTTCAGAGCCGGTTTCGAAAAACTGTGAACATGTGTTAAATCGGTAAATATAAAGAATCTTGAGTTCAGTACTTTGTAAGGAAATGCTGTTTCTCGGTCAACGGTTGTGCAAGGTGATGAAATGGCCAGGAACGCGAAAATAGATCAGTGTCTCCACTCACTGAACTAACCCCACTCCTATGGCTTATATTTTTTTTCAGGTTTTGTAGATCGTAGGTGGATTGTATAGGTTTGGTGATTTTTTTATTGATTCCATGCTTTTTTTAAAAAACAAAAATATATATATATATTTTAGTTGTATTAACTAAAGTTATTTTTTGATCAATTTATTATCATACACACACGATAAAAGCATGGGCATCAATTTTAACATGGTTAGATATTACTATCTAACATTTATCTATGTGGTAATTTTTTTTAATTTTTCTTACTATCCACAGGTTTCGGCTCACAGACCACCTGTCAGTTGGTTTGGAACAGGAAGGTCTGATAAATTGCTTACCTTCACCTTAAGCACAAATATGCATCAGAGCATATTTTCAAAAATGCTGTATTTAATTAGAAGAGAATGCTAACATAGTTATCGCAATTATAGTGGTAAATATTACTGCACGCAAAATTCGAATTTAAATTTTTTGTGGAAGTAAGAGGTCACTTTCGTGATTTTCAGTACCGTGGTGTGAGAGTCGCCCAGCATTTGTGACAGGACCTCCTGAACTACAAAAAAAAAAAAAAAAAAATAAATAGGGATGCAATGCAAAAGTTGTATTTCTCAATCAGGTATTACTTATTCCGCTTATAGATTGTCATTTCCCTATTTATTTACAATATGACAACCAAAGAATAGCTGTATTATTTATATTATAGCTTTATTTATATGAAGTTTTCATCCGTGTACCAAAAGGTTGTATGAATATTCCTACATTAAAGTCTCATTAAAATTTTGGAATGATAAGGATCAGGATTTAGTATATTATCAATAAAATTATTATGCTACCTCCTTATCATATCCTCTGAATGATGGCTTATTCATGAGATTTTGTTTCGAAACTTCACTATTGACTTTCAAATATGGTTTCTTAATCAAAAATCTCCTTGGGATGGAAAAAAAAAATAGATAAAAAATCTCTTGAATTGACTTTCGTTAGTTTACATTCTCACTTATATAATGTATTACAACTTTAATTGATATTGAATTAGGGTTTATTTCTGATGAGTACGGAAGTGGAAGTGAAATTTCATTTACAGTGTTATATTTTTATTGATTTATTTTGTTTTGTCAGTTTGTCTTATCGTTGGTTTATTTTAAATTATTAACCGTCTCTCATTATTCATAGCAAAAAAAAAAAATTCTCAGTATAAACTATAAAATAATTTGATAGTTAACTACTGAAAAAAAAAGGAAAAATGTTCTTTTAGGTTCAAAATTAATTTCATTGGGAAGCTGAGAATTTCAGAAAAACAATATCTAACATACAAATTCGTAGATATATATGAATAAGTGATTACTGTCAAAATGACAAGGATTTGAAGCTCTATGTCCGCCATTTATTAAATAAAAAGGTAGATAGATAATAGTAATAATATAGTATAATCCCATATGGGTGGCTATAACGAAATATTTCCTACTGTCTGGGCCCACTTCCATTTGGAGATATGCATCGCGCAGGTCAATAACTGAAATGCTCTCCTCCCCCTAGCTTTGCTGTTACTTGGTCTTCAAATGACAGCATGAGATGTTGTTCTGGTATGATATTTTTGTTTTCTATTACACGGAAGTTGCTACAAATTCTGAGTCCATTGCCACTTTTTAGAACAGTTGGAGTACACCACTCAATGGTTGCTTCGGTTGGGTAAACGCTCTCAATTATGTTTTCCTTCTCTAATCTTCTCAACTTTTGTACCATGGCTCTCATTGGGAAGGGCGCTCTCCAAGCATGGAAAGCTACTGGCTCGGCGCCCGGCTTCATATGAATTACAGCCATTGTATCTTTTTTTAACTGTGGCCAGCTCATCCTGAAACACATCTGAAAACTGAGATATTAATTCTCGAAATTCCTACGGAAAATTTTTGCCGTTAGACATTTGTAAACCTGGAGCTCTCTGCGTGTTATTCGTAATGGGATGATTACTTACTTTCTTTGGTAAAGCACGATTGAATGCTAAACATCAAGATAGAGCAAACAGAGGAACATCCTTTTGAACAAAAACAATAGCAGGTAAATATTTGGTTCTATATCCTAAGGTTACCTTCATATACAATATTTTAACAGCATGGGTGTCTTTTCTACTGAGTTAGTTTTGTTTAAAATCTGTTACATGCAGTATAACCTTCTTTTCCACCTCTCAATACCAAAAGATTTTGGTAAACGATGTGCCGAAAGATTCCGAATTTTATAAAGGAATAACGAATCCCGATTCGAGATATATAATTGGCCTACAATAAAAATGTCAGCACTCACTGGACGCAAAATTTGATGCTCTACAACTTTGATTCTATGGGTTTTTCCTCTTAGGGAACTCATTTCCAAGTTACAGGGCCATTTATAGTAATTTGTCTCAATTTTCGACAAATTTGGTAAAGTTCAGCGTTGGTTGACCGTGGTTTTATACCTTACCCCGTTACCAAATTTTAAAGTTTATGTACTCGTTTGACACAAAATTTAACTTTCTTTAATTTATTAAAGAACACATTTTTCGCTTTGATGCATTGTTTAGGAGTTAAAGGTCAAAAACCCAAAAAATATCGAAAAAATCTGACTTTTTTGGCTGTAAAATGTTTTCTCTTGGTGGCCCGCGTTAGCAATTTTGTTTTTTACAAGTCTAAACCCATATATGCAAGTTAAAAAAATAAAAACTTTTCTCACATTTTTCGCAATGGATTTCCCGTTTCGATCCTCAAATCACTGGCCTAATATTCTTTAAATCAGCCGCCATTTTTGAAAGCAGCGGCTCTGGAACGGCAGACAAGGTTTTTTTTATTTAATCAGAATAACATACACTTTCGTAATTTACAATCAAAGCTTCGCCTGCGATCAGGTCGATTTTTGGGCCCTGGCTCCAGGGCTATCAGCCTAACCTTGCCAGCCACTTCTAGCGGAATTTTCAAATGTGGAAAGTAGATTTGAAAAATAGTAGATTGTATACCACAACACTTGCTGCGGTCTCTTCCACGTTTTCTCCTTGTCTCCAGATTTAAAATTTTTCATCCTGAAAATTCATAATTCCATTAAAATGTGACCCCTCAAATATTTTGACGGAGCAACTTCCGCCATGAAACTTTCTTCTGGACAACAACAGAACTCTTTCTTTTCTTTTTTAATCCATGTGGCTCTACAACTAAAACGTGTAGATGAAGTAGTTTATGGCAGTGCAACTTCAGCTGCTCCAGCTTTCCTCTTTCTCCATTATTTTCATAACGAATCAAAAAAAAATCGTATCTTCTCTCTGATGAATGGTTCACAACGTCGTTGACTTATCTGTACTTCTATATAGACTCCTTAGGCTTGAATGACGTATCGATAAGGTATGCGAATGTCCGCACCTAAAAAAGGAAACAGATCATTTACTGTTTATGTCATTACACTAGTAAATTACGAAAGGGAATGTTTACAGTGAATGGGGGGGAGGGGCCGGAGAAAGCTGGGTTATGCAAGTCGTCGCAGTACTGCTGTAGCATCCATGTGGGTCTCGTGTCTCCTGGCTCTTCTACTTCTCGCGGACTTGCTGGAGGCCCAGAGGGCCGGCCTCAGGTTGACAGGTGAGTACGCTGCATTTACAGAATCTCTTATGATCATGGACGTATAAAATAGATATCATATATCAAATACTATATAAAATTCTTATATAATTATTAAAATGGTATAGAAATTATTGAGCGTAAATTTAATGTAAGAAGTTAGTCTGTTGTCAACAGTCGCACACATAATAAGTGGGGATAATATTTACCGGTTACCGACATTTCAAACAATGTAGTTGTTCTTCATCAGGGCTTTTATCCAATAATGCCGGAGGATACGAGACAACTGATCAGGTGGTTTAATAAACCTCTTAATTTTAAATTATACTTTTTTATTATTATAAAATAAGCCTCTGTTTATTTTTTCAACATATTTTAATTTTTATAGCTACGTCTCAGCCGGTAAGCCACTTTCAAGCCATTTTATTCAACCAAGCTTTTTGCATGTAGTCCAAAGTCTAATTAAATTAACAGATAATTAACGGACTACATGCAAAAAGCATGGTTGAATAAAATGGCTTCCGGCTGAAACGTAGCTATAAAAATTACAATAAATATGGTGAAAAAATAAACAGAGCCTTATTTTATAATATTTTATACACATATGAACTTTTTTATTATTATTTATTTGTTATTTTGCTTCTGTTTCTTTTTTTAAATATAGTGTGAATGTGATCTTACCTCACTATAAATAATGTCCAAGTGACAGAATGTTGTAAAATTCAATAAATAAATTCTTAAAAATTTAAATTCATTGTGACAATTTCTTGACTACTGTTTTCATGAATATACTTGTAAGAAAATCATACGCTATGTGGCAATATAATTAATATACAGATGCTGGAGAGAGGCAAAGAAAATAAATTTTACGGTTGGGAAGTTATTTGGCGGTTGCAGTCATTGAGAAACACAAATAAAAATAATAAAAATTTATTCTATTAAAAAATAATTGTAATTTTCATTTATTTTTTTAATCATTTTTTATTTATTTATTTTTTATTTGTGTTTCTCAACCAATACAAGCCCCAACTGACTTCCCAACCATATTATCTATAGTCAACCATTCCTTCATCTTTATAAAACTAAATTTAAATTTTAATGTGCATTAAGTGATTAATTAATTATATATTAAACGCAGTTATCAATATTAATAGTAATCCTATATCTTCCGCTACAAGAAAGCAAACTAATGACAGCAATTATTCTTTTGAAGGATAAAACTCCTTAGTCATGGCAGTCGACTATTAATTTTCGAGCCAAGAACAGCTTTGATAAGAACGCTTAATCTTATTTCAAATCTAGAAAAAACAGGAAATTTGAGAACATGTATGGAAAAAAAAATCTTTGAGAAAATATAAAAACGTTTTAACTATTTTATGTTATATATTTTTAATATTATTAGCATTGGAACAAGTAGTGGGCGAGTTCTCCTGAAATGGAGTAAGTCAATTGGAGAAAACTGCAGAGAAAGCGAGCAGATTATAATATTGCACAAATAAATATCATAATTTCATACAAACTCTCGAACAAAAATTGGTTGCCTTGAAATTTAAAAAAAAAATTATGTTGAATAATTTAGATAATACTTAATTTTATTATACCAATATAAATTATTTGATTAATAATTAATATTAACCTTTTTTTACTCATACTAATTTTATATAGAAATAATTCTTAAAATTAAAAGAAAACGTCAATGAATTAATCCATTTTCTTTCGTAAAAATTCAAATTATCAAATTAAAGTTTTCCATCATGATTTAATTATTTTCCTTCGAGCCTCATTTGGTTTAGAAATTTCTGTCTGTTTAATTAAGAATGGCCGGACAAATTTAAATCGCATTCATTCCAAAAGTTTCAGAGAATAACTAGATCTTTCGAATCGGAAATTTGAAAATTCCTTAAAAAATGGTTTTATTTTGATTTTTCAAATACTTACATAAATCAATTCTATCGTAAAACTTAATGATTGTTCACAGTGTATTTGGAACATATGAATGACAGTTCAGGGAATGAACTCATGACTTAAAAATATTGAAAATTTAAAACATAAACAAATACATATTGGGTTTGATTCTCGCGAGATGCATAAAGCACAATAGAAAATATACTATTTTTTTTTTTGGTTTATTATTTTCAATAATGAACCATTGTGAACGACCAAAAAATTCAAAAACTCAACCCCCTCTCAAAATTTGAGGTTTCACGTTTCAGGATACGTAGAATTCGAAAAACGAATACAAATTTTCTTGTCCGTCCGGCCTCCGCCATTCGTCGTACGCCGTCCGCCGTCCGCGCATTTTCTCCGAAACTACTGGACCGATTTTTTCCAGTTTAGATATAAAATCAGAGGTCACCTGAGGATGATATTTCTTCATCGACATTACTATCCGCCTTTTACTTTCAAAATGGCAGCCTAAAACTTGCGTTGATATAGACTGTAGGGTCTGAACGAATGTACCGATTTCAATGAAACTTCGCCCTTTAGTCAATTTCTCGACGCCCTTTAAATTTATCTATAAAACATACTTCAACGAACAGAAGCTGGAAAAAAAGTTACGAGGGATGTTAAAATTAAATTCCGATTAACTGTTTTTTAAAAGTTTACGGAATTTCCTAAAAAACAAAACAAAATCGGACAATTATGAGCAAAGATATGGCCTCTAGTTTTTTTTTTTTTATATGTTCTACTGCAAATGTTATATCCTTGGTTTTGGTTTTTAAATTTTGAATGTGTTACTTAAGTAATGCTATTTCTTTTTAGCATATTACTAATGATAAAAAAAAAAGTTTAGTCCAATAATTGTTATCATATTTTATTTATTTTTCTTTGTAACTATGAAGGTAATGTTACTTTAGATGTATAATTGTTTGGAAATAATAAACCATTGTGATATAATTTGCAGCGTTTTACAAATAGATTGGACTTACGACTGCACTTAAATCCGCGAATTTATGTAGTTTTTGTACACACTTAATAATCATTAATGATCATATATGTATCGTTAACCGCTTACACTTTGTTTTGAGGTTATGATTTCATATGAAAGTATGATTTTTGTTTGTGCAATATTATAATCTGTGTTTGCTTGCTTTCTCTGCATTTTTCTCCAACCGACATATCACGCTTCAAGAGAACTCGCCCAACATTTATTTCAATATCAATAATATTAATATAAAATAAATTAATGTCTAAAATAGTCAAGAAATATTATTACTTTCTTAATGAGGTTTTTGTTTATACATGTTACCAAAATTCGAAGTTTTTTTGGATTCCAAAAAAGTTTAAGCGTTTTTAAACAAAGCCGTTGTTAATATTATCTTTCAAAAGAAAAATTATTTGGTTTATTATAGTAAGATTCCGAAATACTTTTTTTTTTTTTTTTTAAACTTATTTATTGAAAAATATTACAATCTGTCTCTAGGACATTTATAATAGAGTTCACAGATCACATTCACACTCTATGTACAATAAATAAAATAAATTATACAGAAAAATAATATATATACAATTAATAAGAATAAAATAACCTAAAAATAAATAAATAAAAAGAACACATACACATATACAATATACAATACGAAATACTATTAATACAGCACATTATATCATATACTATAAATACTAATAAATTATTGTATTAAATATGTAATAAGTTAAAAAAAAATAATATGTATTTCGAAAATTAACCCCTATTAGAGGCATCTTGAGTTGGCCACCTTGTGATTTGAATACTTCTTCCAAAGTATATATATATACATAAAAAACAATATATAAAAAAATATGGAGGTGTTCTAAAGAGAAGGTAAAATTCACCTACTTTAAAACGCGCACATATGTTTGCTGAAAAAGCTTCCTGTTTCACAGCCCCAACCAGTTTTGCTATCTGTAGGAGGGGTTAGATTTAAGACAAACACTGCCAACATTTCAACAATATAAGTCAAAAGTAGTTTTGTTTATTGCAAAATCGTAGTAAGCGAAATTATGTTATCTTAAATAATATGTACTAGTTGGCCCATGCCGATAATTCGCATAATTTTTTTTTAAGTAAAGAAATAGCAAAACAATATGGAAATAAGTAGATCCTATGTATTATCTGAGGGAGAATTTTTTTTTTTCCTTGGTCGATTTCAATATTCCATTTCACATAATAGACCAAAATATTTGTAAAAATTGCTTTGCTTGTGCCTAATTTTAAACGCTGACTGGAAAAATAATATTCAAGATAAAGCCTCGATCACAAGATTTTCTAAATTATTAAAAAAAAATTTAAAACGTGCAAACAAAAAAATGCGTTTAAGAAATAATAAAGTATATATCAGCTATGAAAAAAAGGGTAGTAGAATAGTATATGTATCTTTAAGGAGGAAGTAATGATTACATATTCCAAAAACTAATGGACTGTATCTTTGTTCATAAATGTCAGATTTATAAGATTATTTTTTTTGTTTTGTAAGTAATTTAGTAATCTTTCTAATTGTCAGGTAAAATCAAGAAAAAAAAGGCATAATTTGTTAGTTATTCGCAAATAAAATTGTTTTCCTTCAAAACTTTTTTTGGGAGGGATGTGACTATTTTATGCATGTGAAGGAGAAGAATATCTTCAAACTGAGAAGTCAATCTTTGGATTTTTTGAATAATTGACGAAGTTATGGCGTACCAACTAAAAAATACTTTTTAGAAATAATATATAATAAAACTAGCAAAAAATAGGTTAAAAAATTTATATTTTTTATTCCAAAACAAATTCACTTTTAAAAGATTTAAAAATACCCTTAAAACGAATCTGAATCGATTTTAAATGAAAAAAACTTAATTTGACCTACTTTACTAGAAGCGTCATTTGGTTTATGTAATTCGTTGTCTTTTGATACAACCAGTATATGTTTTTCTTATTTTATACAAAAAAATCAAAACAAATCGACTGATATATTATAACATAAAAATCTATGTAGAACAAGGGTAGAAAAAATTAATATAAACATTTTTTATAATTTTCTACAAATGTTTTTGTGAATTTTAGCTTTATTTATCCATACAAAACCGCTGTTAATATGCATCAAAATGACACAAATCCATTTACATACGAAATATATTTACAAAAAGGGCACAATTTTGATTCCACGAAGAGAAAATTCTTCAAAGTTCCTTGAATAGTTATTAAAATAATTTAAGGTAATAAAATGTCACTTTATCACTTTTTGCAATGCACCGAAGATATTTTTATTTTTAAATGAATTACCCAAATACTTAATGTTGTATTTTATTTTAAAATATTTCATTTAAAAAATAACTAAGGGCATTAGATCGTATTATTATTTCTTGCTTAGCTAAGAAAATTAAATTAAACATAAAAAGCAATTGAGCTATTAATGATTTTTCTCATGTTTTATTATTTAACATTTTAAATTTTGTTTCCTAATTTAATTTATCTTTAATCCAACAAAATAAACTTATTTCTACATCTTTCAGAATATTCTGCATAAATGAATGACGAATACATCTTCCCTCGATATTTTGTAACTTTTTTAATTCTCATGATTTACTTATCTGATTATAATTTATACGATTCTTAAGTAATTTCATTTTCATTTATATTATCAAATAATTTATTTTAATGAGAATTCCAACTTAATATATACATTATATGGATAGATAACATCATATAAATTATTTATTTATATCCCTAAAGTCATTCATGACTCCCTTTAGTGGGCAGCAATTTATGATTTAATAATGTGATTAAATTTAAGTTAAATTCGAAAACTAAAGTTTTTTGTAAATAAATAGATACTTCTTAATAATTATTATCGGTCTTTTTTCGATCACTTGTTAATATTATAAAGAGATTCTTTTCAAATGAAAAAGGACTCGCTTAGCTTATGTTTTGATTTGGTGTTCATAAGCCTAACAACTTATCTCTATATTCAACTTATCATATTATCTTTATTTTCATCAACTTTCTTCATAGTAAATGCTCATAATAATCAAGGAGAACGATTTTCTGGAAAATTGTAAATAGTATAGTTCGAAATCCCGAGTTGAAAAGCCCATTTCAAAGGTTCAAAGAATCCTCAATTCTCGAAAACGTTGTGGCGATATCCTCCTTTCAAAGTTAGTGGCCAAATCTCGCACCCATGTAGAACCCTAATTCTTTACTGAATTTCATCGATTTTATTTTATAAATTATACGTTATAGCTTCATCTACCAATCCAGATCTAAACTTTTTCTCGGTACGTACCACCGAAATGATATATTGTAGTGATAAATAAAAGAAATATCATTTCTGTAATCATAAAGAACTTCAATCTTCTTGGAAATTAATTACCGACTATAACTTCATTGAACTTTTCAATCGAAAATCTTCAAACCCTTGCTGGATTTGCTATTTTACTACACGTTGAATGATAAATTAATTATTCAATGATAGAATATATATCTATTTATACAACTTATCTCAATCAAATATTATTTTAACAGCCTGAAGAATAATTTAACCCTTTGTAAAACTATCATAATCTATGAGATGTTACGAATAAATTATCACATACACACATCATAACGCATGAGATGTAATGGAAATTTCTCCTGGTGGTTGCTGGATCCCCATTATATGTTATGTAATTGCAGTGGTGTTTCACACGAGCTTTAGTTACATATTACTTACTCCAATATAATTAATTGTCTAGATATATTTCATTACAACTGCCTACCTAAGCGAGGCATTAATGGCTTAATTAATAATGACAACAATAATAATTAACTTCTTTATAACAATGACTAAATTTTTATTATTAAGAATAGTTGATAAACAAAAGAATAGTTGATAATAACTGGCCATCAATTTGGATTTAGGGCACATCAGTCAACTATACACCAACGACATTGAGTTACAGACTACATATCTACAGCACTAGAGCAGAAATTATATGTGACGCGTATTTCTGGAAGTTGCTCAAGCGTTTGACAGAGTTTGGCACCAGGCTCTTCTCTTTAAACTCGACACAATACTTCTACCTGCCTGCTATCTAATTCTACAGTTACAGATAGTTCAGTAATCGCTCCACTACTCTATATTACATACACCCATGACCCACCTTGTAGTACCAACATTTTAACACCGACATATGCAGACGACGCATCAATTTTAGCAAGACACACCCTACAACCCTACCCTCACAGACCCTAGAACAGTACTTAACAAGTTTACATGACTGGTTCAAACTTTGGAAAAATCCGACTAAATCAAGACAAATCAAAGCACATCACACACACCCTTCGACGTGAAACATGCCATCCAATTTTTCTTGATAATATACGGATTCCAGAGACAGACACTGTTCACTACCTTGGTCTGACATTTTACCAAAAAATGACGTGGAGCCCACATATAACAAAGAAGAGAAAAACGCTAAATCAAAGATTCAGAATTCTTAATTCACTTCTTTCAAAACATTCAAAACTAAAACTTAGACAGAAATTGAACACATAAAATTACTTACTAAAACCTATTTGGACATACTCTATACAGATATTTGGAAGAGCTAAAAAGACTCACATATACAAACTTCAAATATTTCAAGCTGTTGATAACACGTGTGTGTTGTCTGTCAATAATGAACCAACTATTGCATCACAAACCCTGGAGTCACACATTTCAGCCATTGAAAAATGGTGTTCAAATTGGAGAGTTTAAATTAATCCAAACAAATTCCAACAAATTACTTTGTTGGCCGTAAACCTACAACATCCTGTCCCACCGTATCCTTTAACAATATTCCACTGATCTCTGTCGAACAGATCCGTTACCTAGGACTCCTTGACAAACGCCTTACATGGAATCCTCATACTAGACTTAAAAGACAAGAAACTGCCAACAGATTCCGACTACTACAACACTTGACAAACGCTCTAACCTTCCAATATTCTACAAAAAAACTCATTTACACCTTACTCATCAGGCCCATTTGGATATACGGTATTGGGCTTTAGGGCTCTACAAAAACATCAAATTCTTCCCGTATCCAATCCTTACAATCCAAAATCCTCCGTAAAATCCTAAATGCTCCTTATTACGTAACAAATAAAATTATCCATAAAGACCTCAACATTCCTCTTGTGGAAGACTTGGCCCGAACTAGATATATCTCTTTTCATTCCAAACTCTTTGGCCACCCTCAATCTACGTGCACCTAGTTTGTAACCTTTCATCCAACACAATTCCTGACAACCCTCCGAGGCGTCTGAAAAGAAGATGGCCAAGAGACCTCCTAAATTAATTTATCTTTGAAGTGTTACCAATGGGTAGCTTCTTCACAAGTACCTTCATGTAATATATTGTATATGTAATATATATCAAATTTACTGGTTGTATATTTGTTTACAGTTGTAAATTTCAATAAAAAAAAAATATATATTTCAAGAAAAAACATTCAGGATAATCACAAAAGTACCTTGATACATTAGTAACATAACCTTACATACTGACATCCATATGCCGACTGTTAACGAATACATACGGTCATAGGATGTTAAAGAGGAGCTGGATGAGGGATCTCCTCGCCTAATGTAGATATCACGCCAGGAGGAGGTGCTATTGGGTCCTGTTTCCCTTCATGCCTTACATGCTATTATGTTTTTTCAACACATTCACTGGTTGTCATTACCATTATGACAAGTGTGATTAAAAAATTAAAAAATTTAAAAAAAAGTTTATTAGATTTTAAAAGTTTACATATGTTCTGAAGTTAGTTTCCATTGTGTGCAACTAGTTCAACGATAGTAGAAGGTATACTTTTGTTCTAGTGACACGGTATAGTTTGCATGTTATTGCAATGTTCTTCGACACTTCACATGTTTCACAAATTGGTGCTTCCACCGCTCTCATTAGTAATCCTTGGATGAACGCTGTGTTCCCGATTCTCAGCTTAATCAGAATTACTTCTTTATATCTAGAACGGGCCTTCCTTCGAAGCTTGATTGGCTATTGGTGGACAGAAGAGTCCAGATAATCCGAAACACTTGGGACCAGGATGAATTTAGTGGTAGTAGTGGATGTAGCTTTAATAATTACTTTTTAAAACGTATTCGAATCACTCTGCTTCAATGGCTAGTAGAAATGATATATATATATATATATATATATATATATATATACGGGTGGATCTACGGGAGAGGGTAGGACTTTCGGGCTGAAGCCTCATAAAATGGAAAAATTTAATTATATCTTATTTTTTTCAAATTATTGAAATTTATCCCTAAAATATTATTATTCGTTATAAAATATTAGTTAATTTATCTCATTTAAATTCAAAATAATTATCTTTATATTCATATACAAAAGTTTCCGAAATAGCTTCCTGGCTGAAGCTTCCCCAAAATTAAATCCTGGATCCGCTACTGTTATATCGTTTGTACCTACTCTCTGAGTAAATGTTTAACTGATTAATTTAAAATTAATTTCCTCCTAAAATTTTTCTACTGTGATTTCTTTTAACAGGAACGTGTCATACATCATTTGTAACATACGATATTAAAATACGGCTATTTGCTGTTTTGTTATACATTGGTATCTTCCTTCTAAAAGATACATAGATTTTTAATCATTTTCATTTCAATTCATATTTTTCAGATGAAGCCAGAAGAAATGTTAGAAAACGTGTCACTACCATGATCCGAGAACGGCTTGGAAGAAGAAGTAAAGAAGTCTGTTATGGTAATGTTAATTCATATAAATGTATTTTTCAGATATTGTAATTGATTAACCAACTCCTTGAAACAGAGACCACTTACTCTAGAACTTAATGATTTCTTTTACGATCCTATATTTTTTACTGGAGGGGAAAACTTATTTTGCCGCATCTTCCTATCTCCTCCTTTCCCGATAATCGCTGACAATTTATAACAGTATTTTTGGTAATATACTTCATAATAAACATCAATACATCAGAGCATAAATTCATTCTATTGGTTGAATTCAGAATAAACAAAAGAGGTAGACAGATACAATTATTTAATAAAAATTACGTTCCAATTTGCCGCACCTTAAATTCTGACGCCCAGGACAAGAGTCCTCTTTGACCCGCATTTGTCCCTTCGCCAAAATCGGCTGACCGGAAGTTCCAATTTTATATTAGCGATTTTACCCATTTTTATAATTTTATCTAAAGATTTTAATTATATTCATTATATTAGAATAAAATTAAGCGTATTTTAATATAATATTGCTTTCATTCTCATTGATGTTCTCGAACAGGGTTTAAACTACCTTTGATTTTTTTTTCCACCATTGTAAACCATTCCACATTGTAAACGGATAAAAAAATGGCTAACTCAAATTATGGAAACAAATTTAATGGTAACTAAAGGATAAGGGTTGGAAGCTATACTGGAACAACCGAGACCTTTGCAGATCCTCTTCCTTTATAGATTCCCGATACCACTCCGCACAGGGCTTTCATATTGTTAGTTTAAATTTTATATACCTCTTATCTGTATATTTTATATTTCACTTATCTGTATATTTTATATATCACTTATCTGTATATTTTATATATCACTTATCTATAACTTTCTAAAAAGGTTTTCACGCGAAACGTTGAGAATCTACTAATATAAAACTAATAATATATACAATATTTACTAGCGATATCTTTTCGACGAGTTACGTGTTCAATGTTCCCGATAAAACAGAATTTTTCTAAAGATCTATTTTCCCCCCACAATCGTTAGTACTACTAGTACAATAGTTTGTTACTATACACATTCGTATGTAGAAATGGAAAGTGATGCAAACGTATAACATGGTAATTAATTGTTATAAATGAAGTTATACCATCGTTTTCACTTTCCTTATAAATGAGAATACTTATCTACTCTAAGATTGGTATATGAAAGTTGGGTGATGTGCACACCGCACCAGATTTGTCTAAATGTAGGAATGCTAAGAACCAGTCAATATTAATTAATATTTCAGAAATTTGTTGCTTATATTCATTGATATATTATTTTTCATTTTTTACGTTAATAGTTAACGTACACTACACTACACAAACACGCCTAATGTGATTGCCAGAAAGTGTGCCACCTTAGGCACCTCTCATATATCCAATCGATATTATTATATGGACACTTCTTAGTTTTACTCTCTTTCATATATATATTGAATTAACAGAGAAGAAAACGTCTGCCAAGTAAAGTCAGTAGAGCTTCCTGACCATTACACCGTTTTCAGTGGCTAAAAAATATCTGTATTACAAGGTCTAAAAATTTTCATAGGAGAATAAAATTTCTGAGTGAAGCCGTTTTTGGAAATTCAGTAATCCCTCAACACATACAGGTTTGATTTCCACGGGTTTTGTTCATCAGCAAATATTAAAATACAAAAGAGTTCCTCATTTGCAGATTGTATATTTGATGATTCGTGATTAAAAAAAAAATTCCAGTGCATACTGAAGATTAGTGTATGCAAACATTGAGTGCTAAACATTAGAGCATAAAATCTAATTGTTTCTTTATGATTTATTAGTATAATTTTATATTTTATAGCCCTCTGTCATCATAGCAGACTTTTTATGTCAGTTAGAAACTACAAAATATCACCTTTAGCACAAATAGAATAAAAGTTGAAAATTTCAACGTACGACCTTTTCCACTAACAGTAGTGTTATGTACTTTATCGGTATATTTTCAATTGTAAAATAGATGGAATAAAATATCCATCGAAAAAATTCAACTTTTTGTTTGTTTTGAATTGACGAGACCAATACAGTTTCCAATCAGAAGAAAATTAATTAAGTTGGAATATAAAAATATTTGTGAAGTTCATACAACTTTGATATTTAAGCGAGACCACGATGAGTTGGTTAAATTTCAATTTAAATAAACACAATCACAAATAAGACCTTTTTTTAAGAACTCAGAGTAAAATTTACTGAAAAATACACGAAATCTAAGTTACGGCAGTAAATATCATACCAGTAACGTTTGAAGTCGACCAAAAAATACATTATAAATTAACTTCTTGAATAAAACCTGAAATTTTATAACCCTATAAAAATATTGTCTTAACCTAACTCCCACTCCAGATGATCAATGACATCCACATTTCACAGCCATTATAAAATTCATATATATGTGATTATCTGTTTGCCAATCCCTAACTTCCCTCCAAATTTGAGCCAAATCGAACGGCCGGTTTTAGAGATATACACGTATCAAGAAAAACACGTTTGCGCATAAATAAGAGAAAGTAGCAGCAGCACGTATGGGACTAAATAAACACGAATAAAACAAAATATATGTGTGCAAACCCAAAGCATCATATCCGGAAAGATTTTGTTCAATTAGGTTCACTAAATAGAAATAAACTCCCAAATAAACACCCGGAATGATATTAGAGAGGAGATGGACCGATGTATTATGGCTGCTAACCGGTGTTCCTTGGCACTTCAAAAGCAACTGCGGTCTAGAAAATTATCAAAATCCTCAAAGGTCAGAATGTATAAAATTCTACTTTGACCTGTCTTACGGCGCCGAAACTTTGACACTATCAAGGACTCAGGAATTGGAACTGTCCAGGTTTGAACGACAGATTCTGAGGAGAATTTATGGGGCTGCATGTGTTAATGGAGACTGGAGACGACGAACTAATCTGGAGCTGAGAAGTGTATATAGCGACTTAGACGTGGTCAATGTTATTACATTCTTGGGTTTGCGGTGGGCAGACCACGTCCCCTGGATGAACCCAGAGGAAATTCCATCTAGGTCCTATCGCAGAAGCTATTTAGAGCACAAAAGATTGGACGCACTAGGCTCCGATGGTAACACTGTGTTGCTGCCGATGCATAGTCGATAATTGGCATTTCCACCAGGAAGGCAGTAGCACAAAACAGAAATGACTGGCAGCCAATACTGGAGCAGGCTGGGGCTCAGTGTGTGGGTCGTACAGCCGTATAATTGATAATGGACAGAATTCAATGAAATTGACAATACATTATTTTTTCACTATCATCTACGTCTTATCCAACTTGGAGCCAAATCGAGCCTTTTCTGAAATATTGATATATCTAAAAAAATACGTAAGCGGAAATGCCGGGTGGAATTTGATAAAATCTATATGGGACCATCTAGGCACAAACATGCACAACCTGAAAATTTCATGAAAATCGGACGAGCAGTACCAGGTGATATGCCCGTCCCATTGATTTGGCTACAGACAGATACCAAACCAAATTCGGTAGTAAGGAAACAAAAACACTGAAACATTCCGACAAAGTTTGTCGGACAAACGTAACACTATTTAATAATACAAAGTTATAATATACTTTTGGTGTTATGTATACTTCAAATGATTTCATGAAGGCTGATCATTATAATGGCCGCCTAGAGTTGTACAAATGAAATCGAACAAAAACTATGTGTTTATATTTTAAACTAAACAGATTCCTTGAGATCTGATTAGATTTAAAACAATCCAATTCTTCATTCCAGATTGGAATTAATTATAAATTGAAATACGATATTAGAATGGCGATTGCTCTGTGCGAATCAACTCCTTTTCTGTAAAGAGGTGTTAGCTTATAATGATTTCATACAGAAGTGTCATCCTCCTCCTCTCCTCTCCATGGCCGATGACTCAAGAATTTGCCTCCCCCTCCCTCCTTCCAAGATATTTTATTGGTCACCTTTACTTAAAAGGAGAGTAATCTAAGGTGAAATTAGAAAATTCGTTGATCACATACAATTACACTTGCTGCAGTATGTTTCTCGTTTTCCCCTTGTTCTTTAGTCCGAAAATTTATAACAGAACCATAGAACTTCGGCCTCCTCAAAAAGTCAAAATCCCGTCTTGCTCCATGAAACCTCCTTATGGGAACCTCTGATTTTAAATCTTTTCTTAGAGATGACAATGATTTGGTTATTACCAAATTGCTATAGAACAATATAAGCTAAGTGAAATATATCTACACATATCATAATTAGGTATGTATTTTATATAATTACATTGTACATTTGTTAATTTTATGATGAGCATCGTTGTTTTTTTTTTTTAGATCTACTAGGCTGTTTTCCAGTTGATGGTCCATTACTGAAAAAGGGTCCTCAAGATCCTAAAGACCTCGATACTAGGTAATATAATACAAATACGTCTTTCTTTCCACCTTAGTGCCTTTTTTATTTCATCTCTCATATTTTATCGCTATATTTTATCTCGTACTTTATTAATTTCATGCTACATTTTTTTTTAGATTTTATTTATACAAACGTGGAAAAGAGTCTGAAGGCATATCATACACTGATGGGAGAGAGTCATTGGTATCGTCACATTTTGATACAGCTAAACCAACAAAATTCATTATTCACGGTTTCAAAGGCAGTTCAAAGGATATAAGTGCACGCATAGTGGTTGAACAATTGTTAAATTTGGTAATATACGTTACAATATTTACATATTAAGTTCATTTTACAGGTGGTTATTTAATTATGTAATACTCCGTATTATAGAAATTAAGAACCATAATTTTTTATTGCGATGGAATGTTCATTAGATCTGATGTACAGGATGTCTCAGTTCTTCATCTCTAAACTGTGGGAGATGATTCTAGACAAAATTTCCAACAAAGAATTTCATTTGATGTTTGGGCCGATTTCGAACGGAACAGATGTTAGGAACAATTTGGTCTTCTCTTAAGGTGGTCACGTTTTCTTTTTCATAGGAAGCGATGATACAAAAATTTTTAAATTCAAGTAATTAAAAATTGCTTCTTAGTAAACTATACAAAATCTCCTCAAATTCCAGCAGAATTTGTCTTTGTCAAAATCATTTAAAGGTGACATTTGAGCGGTCAAACTACTTGTTTGAGCTGTTGTGTTTTTCATTAAATCATAGATTATTGACGATGTTTGCTTAGCATCCTACAGATACCCCACTTTTATAAAAACATCCTTGTTAAAAAAGCTTTTATTACATATCAATTTATTTGAGGTTTGTTTTAGAATAGAGTTAAGATTCGCCTCTTTTTAAGTTTAAAATTATGTGATTTGATATTCTGTCACCCCAAAGGATCTGCATTTTCAGAAAAAAATTGCAACCGAATAATTATTACAAAGTTTTAATTCCTTCTTTTTATTTTATTTATTTTTTTATTTTGAACTGACATCTATTTCTGTAAATTAATTATGAAAATACAATTTTTACGCATTAATAAAATGCTGCTTTTATAAAAATTTACTAGCTAAGGTGATAATGAACCATTGTTTATAAAACAGATATCTATTGTGGAAATCGTCGATACTTATCGTATTAAATAACTAACTAAATGTTTTTAATCCTAATATTTACGCATAATAAAAAAAGGCTTAGCGAACCCGAAGGTTCGATTCCGACGCCAACACTAATTTTATTGACGACACCAACAATCGCTTATTACTCACCTCCCTCTACCGTTCGCCGTCCAAACCCAGTCCCTTCAGATCTGCTTTAATGCAATTTTCCCACCTTCGCTGCGGTCTAGCCCTCGGACGTTTACTATTCGGCACAGCAAACATTAACCTTTTAGGAATTCTCTCGTTACTAAGCCCAACAATTTTACAAGACCATTTGATTCGCCGCGATGAAATCACCTCAATTATATTAACCGCATACAGTTCGGCGTTGTGTAACCGTCTGAACCCTCCGGTGAACTCATCCTTCTTCGGTCCGAACATTCTACACAATACTTTATTTTCAAAAACCTTAAGACGCTTCTCATCCCTTAATGTAAGCGGCCACGTTTCGCATTCATAAAGAACTGTAGGTAAGATAATGGTTTTATAGATTCTAATTTTTATGTTCCGTGACAAGAGGCGCGAGCTTTTGTCACAGAAAAATAACAAGCATTTCCCGCCTTCAGTCTAACCTTAACCTTTTCTTCAATTTCGTTTTTTCTAGTTATCGTTGACCCTAGATACCTAAAATTCTCTACCTGTTCAAACAAATTACCATCTATATCGAAATAACCAATATTATATTTACTTATAATATTTACGTATAAGTAAAAAAAATTCTAGTACGTTATTTTAAGAAATTTTATCTTGAGGCAATGAGGCAATTTTTAATTACCTTAATTAAATATTTTGGATGTTATTACTTCCTATGAAAGAGAACACGTTACCACCTTATGACAAGACAAAATTGGACTTTAACTCCTCTTCCGTTAAAAATTGGCCCTTGAATGAACTACAAATGAAATATTTTGTTGCAAATTGTATCTAGAATCACGGCCCAGAGTTTGGCCATTAGGGACTGAGATAATGCTGTAGGTATACCATTTATTTTAAATTCGGAAATATGAATGAGTTCCTAAATTATTTAAAATTAAATTGTTATTTAAGTAGGGGCGTGTAGTCCTATCTTTCTCTTTCAGACTTGATTAGAAGAATTAATATTGAATTATACTAATGAGTGATGATGAAAAACAGGAAGACAGTAACGTTATTTTGTTAGACTGGGCAAAAGGAGCACAGGGGCCGTCTTACAGACTTTCGGCAGCTAACACTCAACTTGTCGGAAAGCAGCTTGAACTAATATTGCTGGATATGATTTCCCTTGGTAAGTATGATTAATCCAAACAGAGAAAAACTATCTAATAAGGATTGAAGAACATCCTAATTGCCGGAGATGCCCGTCCCTTCCAAGGTCGATGCCGCATGTACTTTCCCCACCCCTACTAAGATATTTTATTTTTCTCTTCTTCTTAAAAAGTGTAAGCAATAGTAGAATATTAAAAATTGTAGATTATATACAATTACATATCCTGCAGTTTGTTCTCCGTTTTTCCTTGTATTTTGCTTTAAACCTTTTCATTTCGAAAATTCATAACCTTGTTGAAATGTGAGCCCCTCAAAAATTCGAAACCATGCCAAAACGTGCCCCTCTCACAAATTCAAAACTCCGCCAAAATGCGCTCCTCTCAAAAATTTAGATGGCACAACTTGTGCTATGACACCTCCTTCTGGGCACCCCTACTAATAGCACCAAAACTCGAGTTCGATTATATGGCTCAACGTCATTCGACATACTTGTGTTTTTATGGTGAAGAAGCACATTTTTTCCGTCAATTTATCATTTCTGAACGCCCTATGCTTGGTTTTTATCGTATCCAATAATTCTAGTCTAATGCAGCACTGACGAGCTTAAGAGGGAGAGCGATCTTTCAAAAAAAATTAAAGAAAAACATTTTTGTATTATGGGTCCATATTTTCCTCTGAGTGATCACTGAACAATACTTAATCACACCATGTTCTCTTTCTTAATTATATCGCGCATACTTCAGATATTTTATTTTTATTTTTTTACTTTCCTATCTATACTAGGTAAGGAAAGTATTGCAATCGGGTCAAGTTTCCGATATGCGGTTTTCGACGGATCTATACTTTACAGAGCCCCCTGAGTTCGAAAAACAGATTTTTAGCCATTGGTCTGTCTGTCTGTCTGTGCCAAGATTTTCTCGGGAACTACTGAACCAATTTTGTTGCTTCTTTTTTTATTTTGTAGGGTTTGGCTACTGATGCCTGAGACAGAAATTCGGTGCTCCATGCGCAACAGCTTGCGCGCAATAAATGAAACACATGTTTTTCTTTAGACTGTAGCGCAAAAACGGCTCTAACGATTTCGATTAAACTTTCCTATAATGTTCTAATAATTTTCCTTTCAATTTTCGTATATAGACTAAATTCCCGAGAAAATACAGGAAAAAAAGTTATAAAGAAAAGGAAAATGCTAGAGGGCCTAACTTCCTAAGTATATATTATACGGTAAAATTCTTAATAAAACTTTTGAAAGGTAATTAAATTACAAAAACAAAATTCATCGAAATCGAACCAGTATTAGCGATGATACAGCTTATTCTATCTTTCACACATTTGTTAACTTATTACTTTCCTGCCTATACTAGGTAAGGAAAGTATTGCAATCGGATCAAATTTCCGATATGCGGTTTTCGACGGATCTATACGTTTCAGAGCCCCCTGAGTCCGAAAAACACATTTTTAGCCATTGTTCTGTCGTTTGAAAGGTAATGAAATTCACTACAAAGCCATATAAAAATAGTTTATTTTGGACAACTATTAACGATGTTACAGCTATTTAATTTCCAATGAAAGATTACGGGTTCATATGCTAATGTCAGAAAGGGGTGAATGAGAGAATACAGATGACTAAATGAAAGTAAAAAAATCTGTTGCCCGCATCACACAATCTTCACTATTTCCTCTACTTTTAACAGAAATTATTGTTTGACAATACTAAGCTATGGCAATAAGTTTTTGATCAGCAATATTAGTGAGTATTGAAATTTTTACACTGATCTACCTTAAGCCGGTTTACATTGCTTTAGTTTATCAAATAAATCGTACTCAAATCTTTTGTTTGATCAATTTTCAGGAAAATTAATCTAGTTCATTCTTTTTTTTCTTCATGAATAAATGTAAAGATATAAAAACATTTCTGAAATAGGTAGGAAAATCGTGTGAGTGAACACACTAGATATTTTTTTATTGTTTTATTGAATATTAGTACAGTCTGCCACATTGAAGGGCATTGCTACTAGCGCTATGGTAACTTCAGTTACTAAATATAAGCGCGTGTTATGAAAAAAAAAATCTTAATTTTAACGTTATTGCTCCTGTAATTAAAGTCAGTATTTTTTTTTTAAAGTTCCCCCCTAAAATCAAACCTTGAATCCGCTACTGCAAGCAGTATTATATCTTAGTCGTGGGAATCAATCCGGTGAGAATGATAGTAGTGAAAGTCAATTTTTTTTTAATTCAAGAAAGTGAATGTTTAATAAATGTGGTTAAACGATGGATGCATGTTATATCATTCATTCTCACGTTCTAATTTTCTTTTACAATCTGTTGGATATATCTGTTATTCAGTTTGATAATTAATAAAATGGATATTAATAGATGTGAAGTAATATTGTTCAGTGACAACCGGACAGTTTCATGCTTGCATTTCAAATTACGGATTTAAAAAAAAAAAATGTTAACGTGAGCTGCAATCTGACCGATCTTTGTAGATAAGGATGATGTGGAAGACTTATTTCTTTGACATACGTGACGAGTAGCTCTGGACATCTGAGTTCAACCTTAAAAATTAAAATATGTTATGAAACCGTGCGAAAAACTTTATGAAAGTCATAATTATCAAGTTCCGATCGATCAAGAAATTAAAAAACCCAAACGGCATCCTTGTAAATCTAGATTGTAGAGGATAATAGTATTTTCGGATAGACAGTTGTTAAGCTCCCTCTTAGTTCAAATCAACTTCGAATGAAGCCTAACTATTATTCAAATTAAGTTGATTGTAATTTAAAAGAAAGTGGACAGTATTTTGAAACATTTATACTTACTAATAGTAAAAAAATAAAATGAATTTTATTCTAGCATCAATAGATAAAATAAAGTAATAACTTCTAAAATGAAAATAATGATAAGCTGAATACGATGTTAATAATAATTATGAAATATCTAATAATATAGTTGGATGTTTGATTATGGAAAAATTAACAAATATATATTAAACCTAATTTAGGAATTATACAAAACTAAACGAAAACAAAACAATGAAAAGTTGAACAAGTTTACGTGGTCGCAAGCAGGTGACGGTCGTAGATATGGACGAACCGCTGGCACTCCAATCCTTCTTCAGCGACTAAACGTAGGTTCAATATGAGCGCTCATATAATTAAATCTGCAAATGGGCAGCGGCGACCACGACGAGGAAAGTACATCTCCTCACAGTAGAACTGCAGTGGACAGTGTTGAAGTTGGCAGTACTCAGCTCAGTGACGGACGGAGTCAGACTGTCTATTGTCAATTCTACCGCCTAATGACTTGAACCCCTAGCACTTGTTTACAGGGCTACAATCGATACCAATTTAAGTGTAAACTATTGACCTGTTGAATCTACACAAAACAAGCTATGGGCCTAAGAATATATACATATAATTATTAATTATCCTGGCATTAAAAATTTTTTTTTTTTTTTTTTTTATTGAATAATAATACAATCAGCCACTGTTGGAGGGCTATAAGTATTAAGGCTAAAAGTTCTCATTCATACAGTATATACAAGTAATACAGAAGTAACTATAAATATAAAAAGTAAATAAATAATACTTATAAAAAAATGTAAATCAATAGAAAAAAATAAAAAAATAAATAAAAAAAATAAATAAATAAACAAAATAAAATAAAAACTTCTAAACACATTCATACCTATATACAATATATACATTCGCCCAGGAATCTCCGAGCCAGGCTTTTCTCCCCACATGTGGAAAGCAAAGCAGGACTCCAGAGATCCCAGTGCCATTTTTCCAGCCGCATCACTAGTATTAAAAGCCAGTGGAGGCTGAAGGAGGGCACTAGAGCCACAGATGCTCAGGACTTGAGTGGAGAAGCTGGCCATTGCCAGGACTCCAGAAGCATATTTACAATAGATCTCGCGGCCACTGCCGTTTTAACCTTCGAGGGGGATTGTAGGGATGGTGGGAGCTGGATAGGGATTGAGCTAGAGGATTTGGATGATGGATAAGGTTCTGGTGAAAGTTTGAGAATCTGGATGGGATGATGTCGAGGACAAAAGGGATGTTAAGGTCATGGTGTAGGGTCTTATTTGTGACATAATATGGGGCATTGGCTATTGTTCTAAGTACTTTGGACTGGAAGGATTGGATGCGTTTGATATTCGAATGTTTAGCAGTTCCCCACAGTTCAAGTCCGTAGGTCCAGATAGGTTTCAGTATTGTCTTGTAGATTAAAAGTTTATTTTCAATCGAAAGATGAGATGTCCTGCTTAGTAGTCTATATAGCTGGCCATATCGTTGGTTAAGTTCTTGTCTTTTAAGTCTCGTATGTGGGTTCCAAGTTAGTCTTTTGTCTAGAAGGAAGCCAAGGTAACGGACTGTATCTGAGTAGGGAAGTGGTATTGAATTGAAAAGGATTGTGGGACAGGATCTGCGTCGCATAGTGAAAGTAATATGTTTACATTTTGCTTCATTGATTTTAATGCGCCAGTCGTTGCACCACTGCTCAATCAAGGAGAGGTGAGATTGTAGGTTTTGAGATGCTATTTGAGGATCTGAGTGGGAGGATAGAATGGCAGTATCATCGGCAAATGTAGCTAGGAAGGTATCGGGATTTGGAGGGATATCGGCAGTGAAAAGGATGTAGAGAACTGGACCCAAAACACTGCCTTGTGGAACACCAGCCTCAACTGGATAGTAAGTGGAGAATTCGGTGCCGCAACGGACTTGGAAGGAACGATTTGAGAGATAGGATTTGAGGACTAGGTATAAGGATTGGGGTAAATGGGTTTTGAGCTTGAAAAGCAAGCCATCGTGCCACACCCGGTCGAAAGCTTGCGCTACGTCCAGAAAGGCACCAGTGCAATATTGCTTGTTTTCAAGTGCAGAGGATATATGGTCCACAACACGAAGGCCTTGTTGGACAGTGGAATGTCTTGAGCGGAATCCAAATTGATGAGAAGGGATGTTGTGGGATTCGAGTATGGGTAGGATGCGTTTGAGGAGGATTTTTTCAAAGATTTTTGAGAGGATAGGGAGTAAACTTATCGGTCTGTAGGATGATGTGTTATTAACGGGTTTGCCTGGTTTTGGAAACAGCACGATTATGGAGTGTTTCCACATCAAGGGAAAGTTGGTAGTACGAAGGATGCAATTATATAGATAGGTCAGGAATATAATTGATTTTTTGGGAAGTTGTCTAAGGATTTGTGAAGTGAGGAGATCATATCCAGGGGATTTTCGGGGTTTTAATTTGTTTATGAGGAATTTGACCTCAGAGGGGTTAACAGGTTTTGGAGGTAGAGAGAGAGGAATTGGTGAAGAGAGGAATTCTTTAACTTCAGCAGTGTGGGTGGGATGGAGTTCGGGATGGGGAGTGAATGTGTAGGATAGATGTTTAGCAAACTCTTCAGCTCTATTCGCATCTGACGAAGCCCAGGAACCATCATCACGGCGGAGGGGGTGGGAAATGGATTGGACTTTAAGGATTTTTTTAGTTACAGTCCAGAGGGAGTTATCACTAGATGATAATGAGGAAAGGTAGGAATTGTAGGATTGGGTTCTAAAGATATCCAGTTTCTTTTTTACCTGTTTGGAATAATAGTTATACGATTTCCGGTCATCAGGATGCCTGGTTCTTTGCCAGAGGGCCCTAGAGCATCGTTTGCTATGGATAAGGTCCAATAGGTCTTGGGGTAGAGGATTTATACTGAGGTGTTTTTTGGGACGATCAGGTGAGGATGCAGTCCAAACTGCTTGCTGGATCAGGGTAGTAAAGGAGTCCACTGCATCGTCAAGGTCTTCAGGTGTTTTTAAGGAAACTCTGAGGTCTATATTATCATCCAATATTTGACGGAAAAGGTTCCAGTTAACTGGTCCCCTGATAAATGAAGGAGAGGATGATTTAGGAATGGGTGATGTGGAAGCGGTTAGGACTATAGGACTGTGGTCTGAGGAAAGATCATCAAGCCTTGAAATGGAACAGTGTAATGATCCTAGACCTTTGTGTAGTAAAAAGTCAAGAAGGTCGGGATTGCGGTTGGGATCTGTTGGCCAGTATGTGGGAGTATTAGGTGAAAGGATGTTGCTGCGATGGGAATTAAGTGCAGATAGCAGTGTTCGCCCTCGGGAATTTGTGGATCTGGCTCCCCATTGTTGGTGTTTTGCATTTAAATCTGCACCTAGGATGAAATGGTGTCCTAAGGAATTCAGGAAGGAAATTATTTGGGATTCGGAAATGGGTATTTTAGGCGGGGAATATGCCGCAACTAATGTTATTGGGTAAAGGGAAGTTTGGATTATTACGGCAGTGGATTGTAGGAAATTATGGGTTGGTAAGGGAAATAAATGATGGGAGAGAGATCGGTGGATAATTATAGCAGTGCCAGCATGTGCTGTTCCATCAGGATGATCGGTTCTATAAATATTGTAGCCAGGAACGTTGATTTGTCGTTTGTTGGTTAGTCGGGTTTCAGTTATTAGTGCTATGTCGATGTTTTTGTCATGTAATAAGATTGTCAGTTCGTTGATGTGATTTCGAATACCATTCGCATTCCATAGGAGAATGGAAAGGGATTTGGTTGAGGACATTTATGGATTTCTCGGCGGTGGAATGAGGTTGGATATAACATTGGTAAGTAATGAAATAAGAGGGGTGATGAGGGATCTAAATTCAGAGAGGAAAGAAGTTAATAGGCTTGTGAGGTCAGTGGAATTGGAAGGAGGAGGAATGTATGTCTGGGTATTGAACCTAGGTTCAGGGATGGAGGGATGTGGGTCTTGAGGTTGATTTGTGAATTCTCGAGGTTGAGGTTCTTGTGGCAGGGCCTGAGATTGAGTGTTTATAGTGTCTCCTTTGAACATCTGAGCATAGGTCACTCTTCCGTTCACTGTTCTAGAGGGTTGTCTTGGTGGCCTGGATGTCCCTTCTTCTCTAGGAGTTGCGTACATTCTTGTTTTTAATTCTTTGTATGTTTGACAACCCTTGTAGTTGGCAGGGTGCCCTTGGTGGCATAAAGCGCATACTGCAGGTGAAGTTCTAGACTTCCTACATTCTTCTGTTTTGTGTTGCTCACCACACCTCACACATCTAGGAATGTGATGACAATATCTTTTCGTATGGCCATAAGCCTGACAGTTATGGCATTGAACGATGTCGCGCTTGGTGTAAGGCTTTTCCACAACAACGCTGGTGTAATAAAGGCGTGTGACCTTGTAGATGTCTTCGACCTGGGGCGTTCGGTCAAGGTCAACGAAGAATAGTGGGAGCGGTATTTTACTTTTTATTCCTGGCTGTTCTCTATCCTCCTTGAATATGTTCACTATCTGGCGAACATGGAATCCCATACCCATGAGCTCTTCTTTTATAGCATCAGTTGGCGTAGATGGGTGCAGTCTTCTGATAACGACCCTGAGCGCCCTCTCTTGACGCAGTTGATACGTGTGGTAATCCGCCTTGGTATCAGATAAATATTTTATAATTTTTCTGTAAGTTTCTGGAGTGTCGGGCATTAATTTAGTGTCATTGGTGCGGCTTTGGCATAAATATTTTCCTGAGCCCACTAGGTTATTCAATTGGTGACACATTAACTGAAAGTTTTTAATATTCCTAAGGAATATTGGTGGGGGTTTGGGTTCCCTGGGGGTGGGTGCTGCTTCCATTTCTTCGTTTTGTGTATTTGATAGCACTTGAAATGGGTTCTGAGTGAAAAACGGCGATTCTTCACCAGTCTGAGTTGTCTCATGATTGTTTTGTTGTTGTGAGGTACCAGGTTGGGGATCCACTTCTTCAACAGAGCTCCCTGGTGTGGCTGGTGGAGTATTTCTTTTCGAACGCCTTGTTCTTTTTTTAATAGGAGAACTCATTGTAGTATCGAGGCTCCTGGATCTAGTATTTTTATCCTTGCTCGACATTAGCATATGATAATATCGCATTTCATATTATAAGTGATAGGAAAAATTGTAAAATGAGAAGTGATAACAAAATTTTTTTTTTTTTTAACACGGAAATATATACGCGTGCTTAGAGAGGACTGATCGGCACAGAACCTCCTTGGACGGAGAGCCAGAGCCCACTGGTGGGATTAGCGATGTTATGGCCGGCCGTTATCAGTAACTAACCTGAGGTCTATTTACACTGTTCACTATTGAGCTGTAAATAAGTGATTACTCACCTTATTCTTTTGTTCAGTAACAAACTTAATTGTTAATATAACAGGTAACACTGTTGTTTCGCATTAAAGTTGAACACTGCCACTATTAATGAAGAATTTTGTAAGAGATGACCTGACGTATGTTTAACTTAGGCTAACGCATGCGCAGAACCAAAATTATTAATTAGTTTCATTTTATGAGACAGATCAAAATAACAATTAACCAAATATGTTGAAAATAAAAATAAAATAAATTAACGCTGTGACGGTAACAACAATAGTTCACTATCTGTTAAAAAAAAATTATCACTAATCATTCATAACAAGTTTTAACGTTACAAGGAGAAACATTGGTGGTAAAAGGTATTTTATTTTAATCTGTGTCTATTTGAATAATAAGTAGGAGGGTTGACTTTTACTCCGTGCGACATAAATTTCGACCTCCCCACACAGGTTAGGATAATCTGATAACCTGCAGTATCCTCGTATTTCCTGTATGTATGCACCCATCGTACTTCTAGTAATATTCTCGTGCCCAATAACCTAATCTATGTAAAATAAAACTGCTCAACAGTTCAACTTCCATGAAAAGAACCTATTGCTACAAAAACATCGATATATTTTTTACAATCAAGTATTTACGGTAGGAAAAAGTCACCAATCCTTATTCGATAGTTTCATCTTTTTTTCTCTTATTTAACTATTGCTTTAAGAAATTAAATACCATTTTCATTTCAAATAGGAACCTCTCCTAGCCAAATACACATAATAGGATTTAGTCTTGGAGCGCATATTGCAGGTTATGCAGGGCGATCTTTATCTCAGAGAGGTATCAAATTGGGCCGTATTACAGGTATTTAACATTTTGTTGTAAAATAAATAGTTAATAAGAATTAGATTGTAGTTCTAAATAGCTACTCAATCATGGCAGCTGGTTTTAAGGTCACTGAAATCTCGAGGTTCCCGTAAACGTCCTAATGGAAAAGGTTGGAGATCGTTCGGCTACGTCTACTTACGGAAACATTCAGACTGATTCGGGGTTCAATCTACAGAGTGTTTAAAGTGATAATTACACTAGCCACCATTAAGGAGTAGCAATTCGGAACTTGTTCCATTAATTGCAATCTTATGTTATTGTGTGTAATTAAGCCAAGCGAATCTATATCATAAAACGTGTATATTGGTTCTTTTTTTACTGAAAAACTAAAACGTATGTAGTCTTATTCTAAAATACACCCCACATCATAAATGAAACATATAATGTGTGGATTAACTTTTGATAACTTATGAATGCATTGGAATATCAAAAACATAAAAATTAAAAAAAAAAATGATATACACAGCCAATACAGAATTAAGATTGAGGACCCTCAACTTGAAAGACAATTAAAGAAGGTTGAAATTAAATTTACTTCTTTATCATAACTGTCCCACAAGGCTCTCCCAAGAAACATATAGAAGAAAAAGACGCGAAGAGAAGAGATTATTCCGCGGAAAGAGAAGAGCTTGGGAAAATAAGAACATGGAGGACATAGAGGCATTGCGAGGCCAAAATGAAAGTCGCCTGTTCTTTCAGAGAATAAACGAGGGTAGGGCAGCTTTTAGGCCCAGAGTGACGGCATGCAAAGACACAAATGGAACTCTTTTAAGCCACAAAGATGACGTACTAAGGAGATGGGTACAACATTTCAAAGGCGCATTAAACAGAGGAACGGTGCCTGGAGAAGTAGGTGTAATGAAGGAAGACTCCCTGAATTCTATTGAACCCCCGGATGAGGAGGAAATGGAAAACGCCCTGAGGAAATTGAAAAATGGAAAGGCGCCAGGCCCGGACGGAATCCAGTCAGAGCTGTTGAAATGTGGAGGTGAAGAACTCAAGAAAGCTCTGCATGATTTAATGCTGACCATCTGGGAGAAGGAAGCTATGCCTACGGAATGGGCAACAGCCATTATCTGCCCAATACATAAGAAAGGAGATCAAACAGAATGCGCTAACTATCGAGGAATCTCACTCCTTTCGTGTGCTTATAAGCTGCTCTCTAACATTCTTTTTGAGAGGATCCTCCCGTATTCTGAAAAGGAACTGGGGAAATATCAGGCTGGATTTCGAAGAGGACGCTCAACGACTGATCAACTGTTCTCTCTGAGGATGATCCTAGAAAAGACTATGGAGCGTAAGGTAGTCACCCACCATTTATTCCTGGACTTTAAAGCAGCATACGACAGCGTTGATAGAACGCAACTATACTGTGCCTTGGAGGAGCTAAGCATCCCTCAGAAGCTCGTACGCCTAATCAAGATGACCATGGACAGCTCGAGATGCAGAATACGCGTCGGTTCTGACGACTCCGAAGAGTTTAAAGTGAGCAGTGGGGTTAGGCAAGGGGATGCCCTCGCCTGTCTATTGTTCAATTTGGCAGAGGAGAAAGCTGTAAGAGACTCCGGTATTCAGACCAAAGATATAATCTTCAATCGCCTGACACAGCTTCTTGGTTTTGCTGATGATATTGACATAGTAGGTAGGTCTGAACGGGCTCTCAGAGAAGCGTTTATAAGCCTTGAAGCAGCTGCAAGACCACTTGGTCTAGAAGTCAACGAGAGGAAAACTAAGTATATGAGAGTTGGCGGTGAGGTTGATCTGAACTCTCCATTTGAGGTAGGTTCTTTTAAGTTTGAGAGAGTGAAAAGTTTTATATACCTTGGGTCTGAAATCAATAGCAAGAATGACATGGCTCAAGAAATACAAAGAAGGATCACGGCTGCCAATAGATGTGTCTTTGGACTTGGCCGACACTTAAGAAGTAGGTACCTCTCAAAGAAGACCAAGCTGATCATATACAAGACCCTTGTTCGGCCTGTTTTGACATATGGCTCAGAGGCTTGGACGATGACCAAAAGGGATGAGATGAAGCTGAGTGTCTTTGAGCGAGGAGTCCTCAGAAGGATTTATGGTCCAGTAAAGGAGGGTGATGTCTGGAGGAAAAGAAAAAATAGGGAGCTCAGTTCTCTCTATGCAGACATCGACGTAGTCACGTATATTAAACTGGCCAGACTAAGGTGGGCAGGGCATGTGGCCAGAATGAGCACCCTTGAAATACCAAAAAAAATAATGATGGAGGAGCTGCACCTCGTAAGACGGGTAGGAAGGCCGAGGACGAGATGGTTGGACAACGTGGCCTATGATGCGAGAACCCTGCTTGGTGTGCGGAACTGGAGAGCTGCAGCAGAAGATAGAGCCAACTGGCGGAGGCTCTTGGAGGAGGCCCAGTCTCGGTGACGGGATGTTGTGCCATACATGATGATGATGATCATAACTGTATCTTTATTGATTGAATATTAACGTTTTTGACGTTATTAACTTTAAAATTATATTCTTATTCCTTATGTTTTCTAGGTTTGGATCCTGCTTCTCCACTTTTCAGAGAAAGTTTTACATCTTTACCTGCTCTCAGCAAAGAGGATGCTGCATTTGTAGATGTTATACATACCGATGGTTCAATTTTACTCACAGAAGGTTACAGTAACATATATAATATACATATTTATTTTGGTTAATGTTGTGTTATAATATTTCTTGGTTACTTACAACTTACAACTTGGTTCTTACAACGGTTACTGACTTCGTTACTACAAACATATTTCAGTCTAGCAATTTTTTTTATCCTTGGATTTTTGTGTATCCGAAATAGAATCTGAATACAAAACGGTGAAACGTACTAAAAACTAGCAAACAAATGGTTTTCTGGTAAAGAAATATTTGAGTTAGAATAAACCTATAAAGTTCATTCAATGGAAGTTTTAATTAACACGTTTGTTAGTTTTGACAAATAACCAAAACTTTACCAAGTTTACCAAGAGGTATGGATAAAATAAGTTCTTTTTTTAATCGAAAACTTCTTTAACGCTCTAAACTTTCAATTAATCACAAAAGACTTATCTAGATAATTATATTAACATATGTGAACAAACGGAGTTGAGCTTTGGGGCTCCACCAACCCATCGAATCCCTCTCGTATCCAGTCCTTACAATCCAAAATTCTTAATGTTCCATATTTTATCACAAATAAAACCATTCATAAAGACCTTAATGTTCCATATGTCGCTGATTTAGCCCGAGCCAGATATCTACCCTTTCCTGACAAACTCCAGCCCCATCCAAATCCCCTTGTTTCCACCCTTGCTTCTTCCTCGATTCCTGATAGCCCTCCTAGGCGTCTGAAAAGGAGATGACCTCGTGACTGATGACATCTTCTTACCTAGAATTATTTAGGGAATGTACCACTCGGTAGTACCTCTGCAAGCCTGTTCATGTCATTATTTCTAATTTGTGTATATTTACTAGTTGTATTTGTAAACAGTTGTAAATTTCATCAAATAAACAAAAAAAAAAAAAAAAAACTTATTTAGGCGCATTTTGCACTTTTTTGTGGAGAGTGAATCAGTTTGAGCCGTCAGATCTCCTATGTGTAACGCTCGGCTAAAGTCAGCTAGAGTCGATTAATTGAAGTGTTTTTGCATATGAATTAAAATATCTCAGTAACTAAAAATTGTACTCAGTAAATTAAAAATTAATATATTACGGTTACAGATCTTAACTGTATTCCGAATTCGTCCTTCTCCGGGGATTCTATTTCCTTGACATTAATTTTATTGTTTTTGTAAAGTCCTAAATAATTAGGCAAATAAAATCTACCTTACTACTTTGCATAAAATTTTAATTTAAATTGACTAAAAGAAAACATTTACTAATATTTTAGCTAAATATTTCGGTTGAAAAGGACTTATATTTACATCTTTTCAAACTTATAATTAAATCTAATTACCGACGTAAACCTATGACTTCTTGTCCTACAGTGTCCTTTAACAATTTCCCACTTATCCCTGTTGAACAAATCCGATACCTAGGACTCCATCTGGACAAACGACTCACTTGGAATCCTCATACAAGACTGAAACGGCAAGATACTGCTAGACGTTTTCGACTACTCCAGCATTTACTAGACAAACACTCTAAACTTTCTATATAATACAAAAGACTCATTTACATGACTATAATAAGGCCGATCTGGACTTACGGAATTGAGCTTTGGGGCTCCACTAAACCATCGAATTCTTCTCGTATCCAATCTTTACAATCAAAAATCCTTCGTAAAATTCTCAATGCTCCTTACTTTGTCACAAATAAAATCATTCATGACGACCTTAACGTACCATATGTTTTCGATTTAGCCCAATCCAGATTCCTATCCTTTCATAAAAAAACATTGAAACGAGAGGATTCCTTGTTTCCTCTTTGATACTTGATAACCCTCCAAGGCGTCTAAAAAGAAGATGGTCTCGTGATCTACTTATGTAAATATATTATTAGAGTGCTACCAATGGGTAGTTTTTCAACAAGCGTTTTCATGTGATTGTATTATTACCTTGTGCACATTTACTGGAGGTATTTTTAATTTATACATTTGTAAATCTTATGAATAAAAAAAAAAATCTAATTGTATGTTTAATACTCATTTTTATGTTTCCAAATCCAACCAATGTAGCAAAATATTTTATGCTTTTATTACAATTATGTTTGTTTTGTTAGGTATTTTTATTATTTGCACAACGTAATCCAGGCTATCAACTTAGTCAAATAAATGCCATAATGATACTCGTAGATTGGTAAAAATATATGACTTCCGTAAATGATTTGTTTCAGGTTTTGGATTGCTAAGAGCTCTTGGTCATGTAGATTTCTTCCCAAACGGAGGTCAGGATCAACCAGGATGTGAATATGTATTTGCTTCTGTACTTGTCAGTCATCTTGGTAAGAGCTCGTTGGATACAGAGTTTATTTTGAAATTACTTGCTCTGGGATTATCATCAATTATAATTTTTAATTGAAATAACAAGTTTTCCAAAGCCCATTTGATTCATGTTTTACTTTTTTTAAATTTATAAATAAATTACAAAAAGCTTATAGGTATTTAACATCTTAGATATAACAGCCGTTAAAAGCTTATGTATAAAATCATCAAATCGTCGTCTACTCTAAATGGGACATGAGTAGAGTTGGGTGGAGTAGATGGATGAGTAGAGTTTTTTGGATTTTAATAATTTGCTTTTACTGAAATTTTGATCTGATTTAATATTTTTAAAAAGTATTAGTTATATCGTAATTAAGCCCAATAGCAGATCTACACGATTCAATATCCACATTTGTCATCCACCGAGTAAGAATTCTTACATTACCATTCAACATTAGTTCTTATTAGGATGTAAAATCAGTGCCTTATACATTCGGCACCTCTCTCCCCTCTCCCGGCTCATCCCCTTCCTCAAAAATATATATTTATTTCTTAAGATTTTGTATATTATGTAACATTTGAATTTTCTTTCATTCGATATTTCTCAAATACAGTTGCTTTATTAATAGGCTAAAATGAATTATTGTAATACTTTTGTATATTTTTATATTTCTAACAAATGGCTCCTGAAGATCTGCCGGCCCCACTTGGTCGGCGATCCGGTTGATTGCACCGGTTACCCCACCCTAAGGCCGGCAATGTGTAAAGTCATTCTCAGTTGTTCCCCATGGCCTGACAATTGTTTTTGTTAGAGTAGTTGCGGGAAGCAAAAGGAACAGTAATTACTACCTTTCTTCTTAAAGCAGATAAGTGTGTAGAATGTTTCAGTAAACGAGTAACAAGTGTTTTCAACTCAAAGGGTTATGAGACTGAACTTAAACATTTCACAGAACCTCATTTTATTCCACTGAACAGATTTTCGATCGACAGACTTGAAGAAGTTAATTGATCTAGGAAAACGTTTATTGAGCCTGTAAGGAAAACTATTTGATTTGTTTAAGAAAATACATGTTGTCCAATAAACAAAACACACAAAATTAGCTATTTGAGAAACCTAAATCACTCAGCTGTAGAATCCCCAAAGAAGAAATCACTCAGCTGTAGATTTCCTAGTATCTTTGTAGAAGATTGTGGGATTTCTGCTATTCGCAAGAACACCCATTTGTGTACGTGGAATTTCTGCTCTTGCACGGCATAGTACGCTTGTCAACCCGTAATAATCTGTCTTCAGTGGTAAAGGAAGTCACTTAGCACCTGCCACTTTACTTTAAAAAACGTTGCATATTTACAAACGACAAACCTGAAAACATTATCCTCCTTGTGGCTTAATATGGTAAAATTATACTCTTTTTTTTCTATTTTACAGAAGGTACAGTTAACTCTTCAACAATATGCAATCATGCAAGAGGATTCCAGTTATTCATGGAAAGCGTTACTTCAAAACAAGATGGATGTCAATTCCGAAGTTTTCCTTGTATTTCACGAGAACACTTCCGCAGTGGAGCATGTTTTCCCAGTAAATGTGAAATCAACAGTACAGGTTAGCTAATTTTACATACAATCTACTAAAAAGCGGAATTTTACACCAGTACTGAAATAATCTATACCACTTCTATATATTTTTAAAATTATAAATTGTCCGGTTTTAAATTCTTCCGTTATTTTCTTTATCATGTCATTAATTTTCGTTAGGCTTGTTTAGTTATTTTTGAACAATAATCAACTCTTCACAAAGACTTTTAGTAAGATTTTTATTGGAACTTTACTGAATTATTTTCAGATACAATAACTTCATAGTAGTAGAATATATTGGGTTGGCAAACGAGTCCTTTGGTTTTTCAAGATGAAATAAAACTCAATGTATTATAGACATAAAATTTATTTTAATCTACAATATATTGTCCATTATTTAATATGACTTTTTCCCATCTTTCCACTAACTGCATAATGCCATGTTCATTGAATGTCTAGAGTTTATTGTTAAAAAATTGATCCAAGTGGTTTTTGATGCCCTCTTCCTTTTGGAATTTTTTTCTATTCATGGAGTTCTGCAAAGACCGGAATAAGTGGTAGTCACTTGGAGCTAGATCTGAAAATAGGGAGGGTGGGGCAAAAGGTTCCCATCCAAGGCTCAATAATTTATTGCAAGTGACCGATGAGGTGTGGGGCCTAGCGTTGTCTTGGTGGAATACAACACCCTTCTCATTTGCTAGTTCTGGGCGTTTATTAATAATTTATTGATCCAATTTTGTTAATTTTGAGCATTATAGAGTTGAATCAATTGTTTGTCCTGATGGCAATAGCTCACAAAAAATAACACCCTTGAAATCCCACCACATGGAAAGCATTATCTTCTTTGGATGCAATCCGGATTTTGTCATTCTTCTAGGAACCTCACTACTAGGTTCCTAAGATTTTCTAGGGACAACATTATCTTAAAGTATTCAGTTTTCATCTCCTGTTACCAATCTTTTCAAAAATGTTGTTGTTGTTTCCTTAGTGAATCAAAGATATTTTGATTGAAGTAGCAATATTATTGTTCAAATTGAATTAAAAAAACAGATAATTAAATTAATAATAGTAGAAATATAAACATACTACTAAAGTACAATATTTATCGACATGAGGATTAAGTTGGTTTGAAATTATATGAGTAGCTTCATATCAAAGACGGACATCGATTGTTTTAAAAAAGTTAAGAAAAAGCCAATATTGTATGGTATAGCTTCAATTTGAAGCGTATCTAATGATTTTTTTTTTTTCATTATTTAACTTGGACATTTTAAAATAAAATTATCAGAAACAATTCGCGTTGAACCTATAAAACAAAAATTTACTTTCTAAAAATGACAGACGTAAGTCTTTGATATGAAGCCATTCATATAACTAAATATCTAATTTTCTGTTGCGAGTAAATTTAATCTAAGTTGTAACCTAACTTATTTTCTTCTAGATGGCTCCTGTGGCATTATGGGCTATAATGCTGACTTGGGTTTGGCAAGAGGCCCTTTGTATATGGTGACCAGAGAAGAACGACCATTTTGTGGTACGTAATAAAGTTATAATCTGTTAAGCTTAAACGGATTATAAAGTAATTGATTTTATTAGCTGTTAATAAACTTAATTACCTTATAATCTTAACATAGTGTGCTGGTGCATTTTTTTCAAGACATGTATGATCGCCTTCATACTAAAATTTTTATGAACACCAAATATTTTTTTCATTCGTTTTGTTGAAATTATAACAATTTTTCTTGTCCGGTAGATGATTGCCTGTTTGAAATATCTCCCATCCATACATAAAACAACCTTTGTCCTCCTTAGCTTAGCTAGTTTCTGTTATCGAATCTCCTTATCTCACAACTCAAGAGTTCGGAGTTCCTTGACAGAACTCCGCATGGCTTTTGTATTGGAAGCAATAATTCTAAAACAAGAAGTTTTCTGCTTTTTTTTTTACCGATAAATAAAATCCGCTCAATTGTTTATTTTTTTTATTTTCTACAAACCTCATTACTTATGATAAATGTTGCGGAATGTAAACTATATTTCATGAGACACCTCTTCGTTTTATAGTTTTGCCTTTCACTGCCTATCACCTACTACTGGAGGATCGGAAACTGATTAAGATGACTTTAAAAGTTATTCGTGAAATATTCGTTTGTGGTAGTCTATAAAATTAAGCATCATGCGTAAAACTATTAAGTAATCAATTCCTTATAATATTCGTGGAAGTAATTAAAAATGTGAGGCTTAAACGTTAACTTAAATAAATATTCATGAAGCTTCCTTATACCAATTTAATTGTTGTTGAACAAATACAATTATTTTTTCTCTTTCTCACGCTAATGGAAGCTTTTGTATTCGTATGGAAGGTTAAAAAAAAAAAAAAATGGCCTAAGATCGAAAATTTAGACTGTTGTTATACGTTTGTTACTTACTGAAGGAAGTTAGTCGATTGTTCTACATATCATGGGTGATAAATATTCAGGACGCAGTCATTATAAAGTTTTTATTAGTGCCGATGTTTCAACCCAAAAATATGGGTCATCATCAAGGCTGAAATTACACCCCAGATGATGGCGACATGTTTGGGTTGAAACGTCGACACTAATAAAAACTTCATAATGACTGCGTCCTGAATATTTAACACCCATGGTTTGTTACTAACGTTTAGAAATCAAGGTACAAATTTGGGTTTGGTGTTAGTAAGTAAGTAAATGTTTCCATATCAGTTTCATCAAATTCCATCCACTACCTTCTCCGTATTTTTTTTTTTTTTTTTTTTTTGTCACACGCGTAATTTTTCTAGACACGTCTATATTTCAATACCGGCTCTTTCGGTTTGGCTTAAAGTTACAGTAAGATTGAAAGAGAAGTGAAGCAATAACGCTGTATACATTTTTAACGAATTCTATTGAAAAAAAAAATGATCAAGTAGATATCAGTTTTACCAAATTCTATTTTTTATATTATAGCTGTTGCTAGAATTTCGCGGCTGTGCAAGAGAATGGGATATTGTGCAGCTCGATTTTTCCAGGTGGACAGTCATCTGATTCTGGCACCCGTCTTAGAACTTCCACGCTTCCTTAACTTTGATTATCTATTGCAAGCGCTTTAAGCTGCTTGCCCATCACGGCCTCCACAAATATTGGCATTATTAGAGTATTTTTTCCATCAATAGATATTCTTGTGAATTTTCTTATCTCTCCCTCTAAAATACGTAGCCATAACCTTGTATTTATATTTTATTAATTATGAACTATAATATATAACTATATGGACCAGAGTTTCAACTGCCTCCCGCAGTGCTCTTTTTTTTTTTTTTTTTTTGTTTTGTTTTGTTTTGTTTTGTTTTTTTTGTTCTTCCCTACCTTGCCTTTTAGGCTATACGGGATTTTCCCGGGCCGGGGGTGGGAGGGGGGGGGGGAGTGAGGGCGGGGAAATTTAAAATTCCCGCAGCGCTCTATCCTACGCCCTGCTGAAGACCTGCAAAGTGGGTTAAATTAAATAATACTATTTGTATACTTTAGTATTTATTTGATAGTAACCCCCGATCAACTCCTTCTCATATAAACTATATAATAATTATTTCTCTATGTTCATAAATATTCATAGATTTTTTTTAATATCAACTTTTAAGATTCCGATTCTTATATATTTTTCGTATTTTATTACATATTTACGTCAGTTCTGATATGAAAGACAACTCTTGTTGGAACCCCTATATAATAATGAAAATAATACTACATGTTTACTAGAGTGCGTGCGTGTATGTGTGTGTGGGTGAATGTATATATATTTAATAAGCTTTTCTTTTACATGATTCCTGGCTAGTTATTATATACCGATACCAATCCAAGTAACAACCAGAACCAACACCCTTCGTTTAATATATCTTCTTCTCAAACAATGGGAAATTGAGAATATCATAATTCCTACTTTGGTTTTCTCTTCTTTTAGGTGATCAATTGCAAAGCATAGTAGTTCTTTCAAAAAATGGACTAAAACCTAGAAGTAATATTCTACTGTCGGCCAAAGTCGAAGATGATACCACTTCGTTCGAACTTCGAAATGAGTAAGTTTAAATATTTATTAAATTATATATTAATTAAATATTAAATCCAAATTTTATAGTTGTATAAAAATAATTTAAATAACAAATTAAGGGATAAAATATTTTCTTACAACAGTTAATTTTCATGGAGACTTTAGGAAAGCATTTTGCAGTAACGATATTTCGCCAGTTATCTGAGCGGAACTGTCATACATATTTCAAACTAAATTTCGTTCCCGAATATTTCCAACAATTCAAGATAAGTAACTTCTTCATATTGGTACCGTTAACGACGAAGTGATATTTGTTGTCCACCTTCATCACAGTTGAACGGCCTTTACTTAAGTGAAGCTGAATTTATTTCCATTTCCAAATCCTGAACCTTAGCTACAGTATAAAATAGCAACCAAGTTTAAAATTTTAAAAACATCCTTTAATTTTAATTAATTAAAGTTTAATACCTTCAAACTATTTATTATAATTTTAAGGCATATGATGGAAATTATATTTGTTTGTACTACACCATTCCGGCCAGGCCCAGCCGCTAAGCATGTCACCCATTTACTTTATTATTTTATTAGAGAAATTTACTTTATTATTTATTAGAGAAAGTTACTTTATTACTTATTAGAGAAACGAGTTGAAAGGTTTAATTTTTTATTCTTAATTAATTCATCAAATACGATCTGAGTATCATTTAAATCACTTAATTTGGCAAAGTTGCCATAATATACTTATATTATAACATATGATACTTGGTGCAACTAACGGTAATATATGGACAACATTCCAGGCCAAGAGATCCTTTTCAAGGATATGTATACAGAGGGTTATCAGCATCAATGTATGGGTTATACAATTCACAACTTTCCAATGTGACAGTAACTCTTGTACTTCGATATGCACCCCGAATGATAGGTGAGATAATTGTAGCAGAGTACGTTCGCATAGCTAATCTAGATGGAGATTTGTAAGTATTTTGTTTTTAGAAATTATTTGATTAAATAATTAAGATTTTATTCTTATTACATTTTATTTTTTAGTTGGTCATATTGTGGTAAACCAGTCATATTTGAAACAAATGATGAGTTTGGAGTGACTACTGTAAATCTCACCTATAAATCATGCTAATATTTAAAAGTGAACATCAAAATTGAATATCTTCAAAGCCGTGCTTTGATTGTGAAAAAAATGTTTAATGCTAACTAACTATTATAAAAATAATTTATTGTATTGAATTGACTATCAAATTATTTGAGATTATTAGTTAGTAATTTTTTTTATAATACAAGAGCTATTTTTGTAGATATTATAATGAATTGTTATTTTTATGATGTGTTTTGAATGAGGAGGGATGTTAAAACATATAAATAAATAATTTTAAAATATTGACTGATTAACTTTGTATAGGTAATTAAATAATATATATATATATATATATATATATATATATATATATATATATATATATATATATGAGAAAAATTTAGAGATTAGTGAATTTATTAGTGATGTAGACACTATTGTTTGATAATATGTTATATTAAGCACGTAGCTTCACTTAGTGTTCACAGTAGTTAGTTGTAGCAATTTTCTAATAATTTTAGAGTTCAAATATGGTTAAATTAGTTTTAAAAATGAAAAAAAAAGATCTGTTGCTGTTCATGTGTAAGAAACTAAACATAAATTGCATTCGTTAACTGGGTGTGTTCTTGATAATACTTAGTGTCTCAATAAAATCAAAGAATGATCACTTTTTTTTTTTTGTCCTCCTCTTCCTCGCCTTTTCGACTATACAGAGATATTCCCGGACCAGGGGATTAATGGCAGAATCAAAAGCCCCACCGGCACCGGGACGCGAACTTGTGATTATTTTATCATATTAACTTCAGTTTATCAAGTTGCTGAGAACCGCGAGTTTTGTACACGCGTAAGCCCACTCGGCAACTCCGCCCCCATCGATTGATCACGTTAGGTCAGAGACACACTGGTCACTTGCAGGTCACATTGGAGGTGACAAGCAAGTTGACTAGCTGCAAATTAAGTAACTTTTTCCCCTTACCTGCTATCTGATCAGTTCTCGTACACTGGATAGTGGGGAATTATTCTACAGATTTAACCAGACAATTCTAAGTAGAATGTACAGTAGAGATTCATTCCGTGGATCCGTCAAGAAATAAATTAAAACCTAACCAGACCGGATTAGAATCGACGCCGCTAGAATTGTACGAATGAAGGTTGTGTCGTCTTAACACACTCGGCCACCAACAAAACTGGCGACCATACATACAGAATTGCACATTTTTATAGTATAATCACATTCGGACTAAATACATTTGAGAATCAATTGACATGCCAACATAGGTAAGTTTCCAATAGGGAAATGGATACGATACATATATCCTAATCACAATAAATACTCAATAAAATGGTTAATGGGATCTTCTGGAGTAAATCCTTATTCAAGAATGTTCAAGTTGGATGTACCTATGGGTATTGAAGTCACCTCATGCCTGACATGCCTATCATATCAACTAAGACCAGATCCTGGTTATGATGAATAGGACCAGATACTGGAGGTGAAATTGAAGAGACTTATCAACTGTTTTATAAGATTCGTCATTGGAATTCCCAGGCGTTCTCATGTTTCTCACTGGGAAGTGGTTTTATCCTACTTCCCGACGACAATTCCTTCTTGATGTTTTTCTCTTCCAGGTCCTAAGAACCAAATATCCTCCCTATATTATGGAACTCCTCACTCTAAGTTCCTCTATCCACTCTATTAATACCAGATCTCAACCTATTGATTTATATATCCCTCCTCATGAAACTACACCCTTCAACAAATCCTTCGTCATTATTGCTACCTCCTTCTGGAATTCTTTACCCATACCCATACGGCAATCCTCAACCTTAAATTCCTTCAAACAACTCTTATTCCACCACCTACTTCATTTTCAAACTGACTTATTTATGTAATACTTATCGATTTCTGTAATTACAACTTCTCACTAATAATTAATAGTCAAGTTTCATTTAATTTTATTTCATTTATTTATTTACTTTTTCTTTGTATACATGTAAACCATATAAAATTTACTAGTGTTAAAGTGTTTACTATTGTTATTCCACTATGATTGCGTTAACAATTGAAATTAACATCCAAATGATCTCTTAGTATTCTGTCAAACCAAGGACCAATGTTTTGTACCATGTTATTATTATTCTCATTGAACTTTAGTCCCAGAATAAAATTATTTTTCCATCGTCATATTATCAAAGCCTGAATGATAGGTTTGAATACAAAAATAATTATAAAATAACAATTACATAGAGTAGAAAAAAATATAAAACTTCGATTGAACGAAACGAACAAGACCGATTTCAACTTCTCTGTCAGACCTTTTGTACCTTACAATATATTTGACAGCAAAGTCGCGGGAAGGTTTTGTTTATGTCCGATAAAGATGTTAAATCTTTTTATAAAAGTAAAAGAGTTAATTTTATGATGCCCAAAGTAATAGTGTCATGTTTCACTAGTATTATAAAATGAAACTGAGTGCTAGAATTTTTATTTCTTTAATTATCGCTCTCATTCTTTATATTATAATCACTGGCTATGATGTTTATGATTATTTTTATTCAGTGAGATTTGTGTACTTGAATTCTTCAGAAACTTTAGGAATAAACTACTTCGAAAATAAACTACTCACGGATGTTCATAGGTATTTTACTTTTTGATTATTGGTTTTATAAAAACTTATAAACTTTCTCATTGATTAATCATTTTGTCTTTCTTACCGTTTCAGCATTAAGAAGAAAGATGTAGCCTTGTCTGTTGTGGTCTGTGGAGATAGAGTACGTGAGACATTAGTTTTAATCAAATCAGCGATTGTATTTTCAAGGAAATGCAATTTGAAAGTGATAATCGTTGCTGAACCTGAATTAATCGAAAGTTTTGAAGAAACGGTATGTTATCTATGGTGTGATGTTTTGAAAGATAAAATAAGAAATTTCTTTCAATTTCATTACATTTTGTTATAATAGTAATCCATTAATTTTATTAAATGTTTATCTGTAAATTATTAGCCATAACTATACCCAACTCCGAATTCATGCTTTTCTTATAATACTGCACTAATATTGCTGTAATCAGTACCTAGTAGTATATAAAGTATTTTAATGTAGTGTAGTTATGAAATATCTTTAAATTATACAGAAATATTTGTTTTCAGTTATCTGAATGGGTTGCTAAGAATAATTCATTTAGCTTTGAAACACATCCAATTTCCTTTCCTAAAACTCAGGCTGAAGAGTGGAAGAAGTTATTCAAACCTTGTGCATCACAAAGACTTTTCTTACCAGTAAGTTGTGGTTATAATTTTTAATAACATATTATTTTAATATCTTCATCTTTTTTATATGGATTATGTTGTTGGTTATCGTTCTCAAATGCTATAATAACTGATTTCAACACTAATGATTAATATTAAATTTCTTTTTAAATTTGTATGCTGTAGTTTTGTGTTAGATTCACTGATAATGTTACATTAATATTATTATTTATAAAATCTATTTTACTTTGTTTTAAGTACATAAACAATTTTAACCATTAAATTTTTTGCTTGTCTGTAAGAGGAAGAATGGTAATCAGTTTACAAAATACTAACTAAAAAGTGGCAGGAGTATTCTGATCTCTTCTCTTCCCTATGGTTGCTGCTAAATGGTTTCTCTAAATTAATTAATCATGACACTACTTGGATTCTTTTGTTTTTTGTGTTTTTACAATCATGTTTGTTATTTTTGCATTCTCATTATTTAAGATAGAAATATCCATGCAGAAAGTTAAAATATTTTTCTTGCAAGAATTGAAAATTCAACACACATTTTACATATTAGTTGTTAGTCCAGAATCTATCTATCTATTTTATTTGTTTTCCACCCTCCCATGCCACCAGGGCAACATGGGTGTATGCAGTAGTGTGATGTTAAGCATTAATGCATAATAACACACTACTGCCATAATATCGGTTTACAAAATTCTAAGCTGTGCACACAGCTTGCTGTTCTACTTTTCCTCATTCTTCAGCAAATTAGGCCTGGCTTCCCGAATCCGGAGGTCTTCCTGGGACTGGTCGTCTTCTCCTTTTGCTTGCACCTAGGTTGAAGTGAGCTGGGCCCATCGCCGTCTTCCAGCCATTTATAAACTCTTTGAACCGCAGGAAGTTTCCTTCACTCACCAACTGAGGAAACTCTTCCTCAGTTAGGACGTAAATTCCCGTGGTTCTCATTAACCTGGCTCTTAATTCGTCGAAAGCAGTGCAGGCCGTGACCACATGCTCAACTGTCTCCGGAATACCACAAGTAGGGCAGTGAGGATCTATATCCTGTCCGAAGCCATGAAGTTTAGCTCTGAAACCCCCATGCCCCGTGAGAAATTGTGAAACCCAATAGTCCGGGAGGACCCATTTGCCTGTAACCGAGATTCAACGGTGGGGAAGTATTTTCTTAAGGTACTGCCTTTCGGAGTCATCACCCACCGTCTGCTCCAATCTTCAATTGTTTTTCCCGGATAATCTTTTTCCATTTATTTGGGTTTTCAATAATCCTCATCAGTAGGTTCTCCGACAGACCTGTTGAGCCTTCCCCCTTGTAATCGTACCTGGTCACTTCTTCTCGCAGGAGGTGGTCGAGAGGCACCAACCCCGCTAAGACCTGCACTGCTTCATGCGATTTAGACCTATATGCTCTGGTGACCCAAAGCAGAGCAGTCCTGTGAGTCGATGCTAGCCTATTCTTTGTCTGAGTGTGAGGTTTCGGAACCAGAAGGGAGACGCATACCTCAGGATACCCTCCACAACACCCTTATAAATAGTGGTAGTGGCTGGATACCTCAGGTCCCAAAATGCGCCCCCTACACGACTTAGACCGTTTATTGCTAGTGCCACCCTACCCGCCAGATATTCCAAATGAGGCGTCATATTCAGGCCTACACCTAACCTAACCCTTAGGTAGGTTACCACCTCACTTGGACGTATCCTCTGGCCTTCTATGTACATCGTTATAGGGTGTGCCCTATCAGTCTTTTCCTTAAGGAGGATGGTTTGAGTCTTGGCAGTAGCCATCCTCATCTTCTTCCCCTCACACCATCTAGCGACTAAGCCGGCGCATCGCTCTGCTTCTCTCTTGACTCCAGCTCTGCTGTTGGAGGCCACCACAGC